AACGGGTTGCTTCGCACGACGACTTGGTTCTGTTTCGCCTAGGGCCATATTCGCCAATGCTAAATCCTATCGAAAGTTGCTTTAGCGTTTTGAAGGCGAAGATTAAGGGCTATCTCGCGGAACGCACCAATTTGCTTTTTGACCGTAGGGACTTTTAATTCCTACTTGGAAAGTCGTATGCGATTGCTTGAAGAAGCTGCCACTGAATGCCTCCCGCGCATTACTCAATCCTTGGTGATCCGCGAAGCGATGTTTTGCCAGTGCAATATTGAGAAGGCACTGAACTTGGAAAACATGCAGTATGGGAATTGATTTGTACCAAATTGAATGGAACAAAAACCACTTTGAATGGAATAATGTATGTTTTTTGTATCAATTGTACTACGTAGTACTACGTAGTATTTGTTTCAAACGTTCTATATTTTATATGGCCACTTTGATTGGAACAAACTGCCAGTTTGATCGGGAAAAGGTGTAGACCTGTTCAAATTGACCGAGTCCTGAATTTTTACGGAAAAAGAATAAGAGAATCATCGCCGAAATCTCCCTAATAATTGTTCCGAGCGGACAATTATTTTTTGTTCTTGAATTGTTATGCAATATATCGAATTTATATACTAGTACTATACTACTACCAGTATTGAGCACCCAAAATTAATTTAAATATATATTTCACCTGCCCTATCAAGTTTCAGAGGCGAATTTGTACGTTGCATAGAGGGGACTCGAGGCTCTGGCACCTTACTTACATGTACCAACAGTTGATTATTTACGTTAACATTAATCATGTCTAGCAATCCATGCGCAGCAAGGTAACCACGCGTCCGTTCAGGGCTTGGAGTTCACGAGCGTTGGGGAGGTGAATGACGTTGGACCACTGCTTCAATTGCGCCTTGGACAGCGTATGCACCTTTTGCAACACGTTCCACTCGACACCTTCCGTGAACGGCTTCGTGGTGAGCGAGCCAGGGTACCGAAAGACGTTGCTTTCGCTCATATAGAGACTCGACGGGTCGAGCGCCGCCAGCGTAAAGTTGTCGCCAGGCTTGTTCAACTGGTCAAACTGGCTGAAGACTTGAGTCAAGAACGGGTTGGGCTTGTCTTGGGGGTCCAAGTCAAAGAAGATGCCGACCACGGCCAGGTTCTTGTCCTTGTCAGAGCGTGCACAAAATGCACTTCAAAGGGGTACTGCTTGCCCCCGAGGGTGTGTTCGCTGGGAGCGTGGGGGTGCAGTTGCAGCGACTTGTACACCTTGCCGTTGAGGGTCAAGTGCGAGTCTGCGCCCCCCGACCATGTGGCCTTGACGGTGTAGCCCTCATGCGATATCATAGCCGAAGCCGTGTTGAGCACGACCGAGAAGTTGCCAGTGTTGACCACGGGCTTGGCGGAGGCGGGCAAGTCGATGGGGGACTGACCCTTGAGGGTTTGGCTAGACACAATGGCGACAACGGCAGCGATGGCGTACACGAAGAACTTCATGAGGGCAGTTGGGGGGGATATGAAATGTGGAGCGGGTTGGGTTGAACACCGAGGGGTTGTGTCATGTGAGACATTTCGTGGAATGTGGACTGTTGCATGATGTACTGTACTGTACCTTGGTCGTTTGGTCATATTGAGGAGATGGAATGACAATTTCGTGTTGGAGAGATAACTAATTAAACACGTGGACAGCAATGCGGTATGAGTTCGTTCAGGATGGGTGATGGCCCTGTTATGATGTTCGGTCGACAATATGGGTTAGTACATACTACGTAGTAGTATTATTGAGCTGAAGAACTGTCGACCAAGGTGAACATCACCTCCAAAATGGCTGATATTGAACTTCAACACAGTGGACCTCGGTGTTTAAATGTAGGTACTGTAGGGTATCGTGTTCGCCGCCGTGGTCAGACACACCAGTACCGTATTTTTGAGAAATGCCAGGGTGTCAGGGTCCGAGTATTTTTGAGAAATTCGTCAATTTTATTGGAGGAAAAGCCTGATAATATTATGAATAATCTACTGTGATTGGTCGTTATCTTGACCAAAGTCGTG